CTGCAGTCACGACGGCGGTAACTGCTGCCTGGAACATGACGGGATCGACCTGAGGAGGTGGTGGTGGTGGCGGAGTGTCGTCGTTTCTTCTGATGGGTCTTGGTCGGGGAGGCATCTCGTTCTATAAATCAATCAGGAAGAAGAGGATGGTAAGTCCTCGAGATATATAAAACAATATATATCTCATCCTGATAATAAAAGTATACTACCGAGCGATAAACACAGAAAGGTTACTAACACAAGTAAGTTATCGCTTAAGGAAGAAGAGGTAGCAACACTTAGAGTGAATCTGTATACTGAGTTTGGCTCTAGCGAAAATACTCCTATAGTATTTTATGTGAGATGATTTTTGGTAAGTTTTAGGCCTGCTGTAACACCACAGTCACTCCCAAGCACATGTTGGTCATGTCTCGACTGAATATAGTTGATCAGGCTATATTCACCCTAGACATGATTACATAACTACCCAGGTTTAACCGCAGCGTTCCAACATCCAAATACTCTTTGTTTTGTTCTACTAGTGACACGAACTTTGTTATGTATGCATGCTCGTATACTTTTTATAAAATACTTATATTTTTGAAAGTATACTTTAAGCGTAGAGCACTTAGGCCCCTTAGTGTTTATAGTTGTATACCACGTAAGGTTCGGTATACTACTTCGCTATAAACAAAAGGCTCTGATACCAATCTGTCACACCCCGAAACCGATGGCGGAAACGTTCCAGGGCGGGGGACGTCTTGTGTAGCATCACAACCAATGAATAATAGCAATCATAGCAACTCAACCATTACAGTGAATAAAAATGTTTACATCAGTTTGAAACTTTGTCTGAAACTTTGTTTGAATTACATTCAATATCTTTGTATATTATAAACTTAAAACTCTTATTGCTCCAGTTCCTCGAAAATCCAGCAAGTACCTGTCTACTGATTTCCTGAGAATACAAGCAGTTTGAAAGAGTATCAGCATAAAGCTGGTGAGTTCATAAGCGGTGGTTTGTAGTGAAAATCGTTGACGAGTTCGGAAAATATTTGTATATTTCCAAGAAAATCCGATATTTTCTTTAGTGAGAAAGTAGTGTTTTCAATTCTGTATAAAACCATGAATGTTTGTCACTGAAAACTATAGTGTTATGCGAAATTATTACTTCATGTGACTAGTTAATGCTAATCATGATGTAATAGTATTTCGTGCGTGAAACCATTGTATGCTCGTTTCTGTTTGAAAACCCTGAAAGTTCTCCAGTTGTAGTGTGTATTAGTTCTATTTAATGTAAATAAAACTGTTGAAGAGTGTTAAGTTGTAAACTAAAGGTGATTTATACATATTGTGAGTTGTATAACCATGCTTGATATGACTAGAGACCTTTCCAACGTTCTTCAGGCGTCAAGTTAAATGACATTTGTACATCTCAAGCGTGCCCGCCTAACTGTAGCTAGCAGTCCAGATGTGGGATTGTCAGTCCCGAATAGATCTATTCACAAATCTCACGCTCTCCCTCCAGGAGACTCTGGTTATACTATGATAGGATTTATCCCTGTACACCTAAGGGTACAGTAGTGAAGTAGCGCCTCACAGTATCGTACAATCTTGTTTACATGTAGTGTAGTAGCGTTCTACCGTAGTGAAAATTTGTATGTATACCGTATATAGTGATAATTACAGTTATGAAAACCATGATAAAGTAGTGATGTAACTGTAAACTATTTCTGTCTTAGTGCATATGTTTAGTAGTGAAAGTTTTTGTACTCGTTATGTTTAGAAAATCCCAAACTATACCGATTATAGTTTGCATGTATAGTGAATAGCGTGTCCGGAAAACTATGCAAATTTTAGTGAAAACGTCCCTTATGCTCAACACAGTACAAAGGGTTAAAGTATGCGATTTGCATAAGTTTTGAAAACATTTATGTTTAGCTTGTATTCCCCCCCCCCCTGAAAATATTAAAAATACGGAAAATGTAGGGGTATGAACTCACAGTTGTTGCGTGAAATCGTTGACTGAAATGAAGATCCTCGAGTTGTTACACGTGACACTTAACGGAATCCGGGACTCCATCGAATCGATGAAAGTGGGTTTTCAGCCAAATGCACCACTTAAAATGTGTTTACGGCCGTGAACAAGAGTTTACGGTCGACTGGTAGTTTACGGTTTCTGAAGGCTTGGTGAGTTTACGGCCGTAAACTCAAGAACAGGGTTTACGGTTTCTGAAGGCTTGGACCGTAAACTCAAGAACAGGGTTTACGGTCTTTGAAGGTGGACCGTAAACTTAAGAGCAATGGTGTTGTTTTCTGAGAGATAAGTGCTCCAGACGTTCCGAAGTGACTCCAAACGGTGTTTCTCGATGTTTCCCGAAGTTTGAAGGTGTTTTTAGGTGTTTACGGTCAAGGTTCTTAGAGAGAGAAGGAGAGAGTTTTTGGCCAGAAGTGTTCAAATGAAGGTGGATGTCTCGTATTTATAGGGGTTTTATGGTCGGTGGTGGGGTCCACTCTTTACTGGCCGTAAATGGTCGTAAACGGGTTTACGGTCGTAAACGGGTTTACGGTCGTAAACCTACTTAGGCCGTAATTGTTTGGTTTTCGAGATATTCGGGTTTTCGCGCGACTTTTGGTTCCGACTCATAAATAATTTAATTATATATAACTAGATCATTTTTCTAAACCAAGAAGTTTGACGGAAAAGTTAATGAATTCGAAGTTTTATTAATGGAAATCACGTAACGGAAACGGACAAAAGTTTTGGGTTGTCACATGCAGCTAGTTTATCAAACGTCATTTTTTATCAGTTAGCTTTTCAGCTATCAGCTAACTTTTTATTTAACAGCTAGCTTTTCAGCTGTGAAAATACCACTTACAATGTTGTGTATAAAAAAATGTTCAAAAATATATGAAAATATACTTAATTTATTTTCTTTATAACATTTTTTTCTTGATGATATGTAATTATTTTAATCGTTTTGTGTTCACGTATTATTATTAAATTATCTTCATTGCTGGTTATCTATATATATTTTTTATTTTTATAATTATATATCTTATTATACAACATAATAATCATTAATAATAGACATAAATAATGTTGTTTTTATCTTCAAAACATATTACAAAATTAATTTAAATTAACAATTAACTAAACATTAATGTTGCTTACATCTAATGTTGTATTCAAAAAAATCTTAATTTCTGATTCTAACAATTCTTTAAAATATATCAATAGTTTTTTTTTATTAATATAGATTGAAATACTCACATATTCATCATTTTAATCGTATTTATTTTGAAAGTTTACTTTTAAAATGTTTCATGTTCAGAGCTTCATATTTAGTTTTTTTTTAATCAACTTGTAGAGTATATGTTTTTCACAACTAATTGTGATTATAAAGGCTATATTATCCTTTTTATATAGTAAGTTAAGGGGTAAACCCTAAACTCCGTAAAGGACAAAACTCTATATTTGTATTGGATTACATTTTGAAAGTAAATCTACAAGAGAATATTGTCGATAATTTTCTTTTCTTTTCTTTCAACTTGCTTCCATTCAAAAACCAGGGAACATTATTTATTTTTCTTCTCACTTCCTTTGCTTCTCTCGTTAAAAAGACTTGGGAACACAATGCAGGCGAAAGAAAAAGGAAAGAAAAGAGTTTAGTGCAGCCCGTGAAGCAAAAACGATGGACTAGATGAAACTTGGTTTTGACTTGTTTAATATACCGACGAATAAGATATGGCTTCGACCTTTTCCAATTTCCAGCTAATCAACTTAAACTTTTTTCCTAATTTGTTCCAATACATTGATTTTTTCAGTGTCATTAAAATCGGCTTTATTTTTTCTGGCAAAAGGAAACGATGAGGCGAGAAGAAAAGCCAATGAGTGTTCGTCAATGTTCACGTTGCTTTATTTGTTTATTTAATATAAAAATATGAGGTATACCATTGTTTACCACTATTTAGTAAATAAAATTGAAACCACCACTAATTTTTTTTTTCTTTTTTATTTACTATATTTTGGTTAAAATGTCTGTATTTCCTAACAAGATTGGACCGTGCATGTAACCATCTCTAAACCAAAATAAAACAAGATTATCTCAAATTTAACCAACTTTGTATAATTTAAATGCTCAATACACAAGTTGAAGCAATTTTTGCAGGTGAACATCGATCAATTTTACTCTCTTGTAAAAACTTGTAATCTACATAAAGAATATTAAAAAAAAATAGACGAAAAAATTATTAGATTGTTGTATCAACTTGTAATTATTTTAATTGTTTGACTAAATATTTTGAATTATTGATCTAATCATAATCGAATTTCTGTTTATCCAGTTATCAAAAAGTATGGATATAATAATAATAATAATAATAATAATAATAATAATATAATATAATTATACTTATGGGCTCATAAATAGGCCATATTTGGGTAGTAAAATATAAAATGTGAAAAAATTTAATCAAATAAAAATCAGTAAACCAGGATGGATGTCGTCTTCTACTTTGGTAATAAGTCTAACACATGACTTTTACAGGAAGCATAAATGAAGTACAAGTAATGAGACTAAATAAGTCATCAGATCAAAACCAAACCAATAAATGTCAAGCCGTCATTAAAGAACAACTAACAAAAATAAATAGCCACAAAGCAAACGTAATTCACATGGTGTATATAGAATCCCCTAATTGTACTATTTCCTACTACAAATATTATGGATTTTTTTGTAATCCATCAAATAAAATTTTCAACCGGTGTAATTCATCGGTCATATCAATTTTAACCATTTTTAAATAATAACAAAAAAAGTAATAAAACTAATAAAAAGACTTAATCTTGGAAGATGAGGGGTCACCAACAGAACGGAGAATGGACGGAAGTCCGGCGAAGGAAGAATAGGAACACAGTTCAATCGAATAAAGAACTTACGAACTATTATGTGTCGGGATTCCCCGATGGTACAAGAAAGGAGGAGCTACGGGAGCCATTCAGCTAACTCGGTAAGGTAATGGACGTGTATTTCGGACTGAAGAAGGACCTCCACAAAAGAAACTTCGCTTTTGTCAGATTTGTTGGCATCAAGGATGCAAAAGAAATGGAGCTGAAAGTGCAAGGCATCAAGTGTAGAGGCAAGACTTTGGAGGTAAATATCTCCAAACACCAACGGAAAACCCAACAATATCAACACCAAGTACCACGCCGACAACCCATGCAAAGTAATAATATGCAACCCAACGTCTATCATAGTGCTCAACCTTACTATACAGAGGAAAGAGGTAACAAAACTTACGCCCAAGCTGCCAGTAACTCCAACGTGGAAAAACCCCAGCAACACACCTACCCAATCATCCTAAACCCCAACACGTTCATGAGAGATTGGTTAAAGAAAGGAGTACTAATCGGTGAAACACATAGTCTCGATCATATGGCTAATCTACACGCACTTGGAATCATAAAAGAAGAAACAAAGTATCTTGGAGGCCTTAAACTCGCCATACACTTCCGGTGGTCAGCAGTACCTAGAAGATAAAAATAGATGGCAAGACTGGTTCAACTGGTTGGTTATGGCAGATCAGTTTGACCAGGATTATGAGAGAGTTGCTTGGCTTAAGATTACAGGCGTTCCTCTACAGTTATGGGAAGAAAATAATTTCTCGATCATTGCCAGTCGATATTGTAAAGTTCTTAACCCATTTGATGGCATATCAAATAGGAGAGACTACTCCATGGGAAAAGTCGGTGTACTCACCTCTGTAAGGAGATGGATCAACGACGAAATCACCGTTAATTCCAACGGAAGTGAATTCAAGGTTGGCGTCGTGGAGTACACCGACGACTGGTCTCCATTCAAATCAGCTCCATTCGACAAGGTAGATGACTCGGAGGAGGAAGACGATAACACGGAAGGTATTTCGGAAACCTGGATGGAGGACGAGATGGATGAACCAGAAGAAGGAAAAATTCGACCGGTGGACACGGTGAAGATCAACACCCAGCCGACTGATCATCAATCTCCAGCGGCTCCGGCGGTCGCAACACTTTCCCTGACAATGAAATCGGTAATCGGTGGAATCGAAAAGTCTCCAACTAGTGCACCGTTGGATCCAAATTACGAGAAGACGTGTTATGTCGCATTAACTAAACTTAATGCAGGAACGTCGTATGAAGTGCCCAATGTTGACTCTAGGTCAAACCAAGAACGTGATGCTTACAATGGAACACCGGCAAAGTACACTCTTGGGCCACTGGAGAACTTAGTTCCACTTGGTTGTTTTGGGCCATTCCCCAACAATACTATGCCATTCGCTTTCACATCCCAGCAGCCCAAAATAATGAATTACAATCCAATTCGAACAGTGGCGGTGGACCTAAACATAAAAAGAGGAAAAAGGATAAAGTATTGTTTCCTTCCCCACGCACTAATTCTCTAGTACAAGATTACAACTCAAACCCTTCCATTTCCAATATCAAATCGGTGGCTATTTCCAAAGGAAAAATGGACTCTAATGTAAATCTCCTATATGAAGATGACGTCAATATTACCAATAATACTCCACGGTTGACTAAAGAGACTTCTCATCCATCAGAAGTTAAAGATATGGCTGCGATTGGAAATGCAATTGGTTTTCAAATTAATGCCAATGATCCAGAGCTTGTAGAAACAGAGGTAGATTCCGGAGAGAAAAATGGTAATCAATGAAGTGCATGTCACTTAATGTAAGAGGTATCGGTGAAGAAGCAAAGGTCAACTGGGTTAGGACACTGAAGCAAGCACACAAAGTAAACTTCATGGGGTTACAAGAAACACAAATGACATAGGTTGAAAGAATTGATCTGAATGGTTGTTGGGGATCTCAAGAGTTCGATTTTGAAGGTGTTAACTCTAGTGGAAGGTCAGGGGGACTCCTATCTATTTGGAATTGCAACTGTTTCTCCAAAAAAGAGACTATTAAATATAGACATTACCTCATAATAATTGGCAAATGGATTGGAATAGATGGGGATACCATACTGGCAAATATCTACGGACCTCATAGCCCCGGGGAACAAAAGAAATTATGGCATGATTTAGCAACCATAAAAAACACAAAGCCTGGTAATTGGATCATTTTTGGAGACTTCAATGTAGTAAGAAGAGCCGAAGAAAGATTTAACTCAAACTTCTGTCAGGTGAGTGCCCTTTCCTTTAACAAGTTTATTAGGGACCTAGAGTTATAAGATTTTAGGATGGGAGGAGAAATTTATACGTACATGTCGAGTTGGAGCAAAATTGAGCAAACTGGACAGGTTCCTGGCATGTACAAATTTTCTTGCAGCCTTTCCGTCACTTGTAGTCACAGCACACCTACGTGAGTTATCTGATCATTCTCCAATCACTCTAATTAGTACTTCCACAGACTATGGACCTCCACCTTTCAAGTTATTTAACTCATGGTTTCTAAAAGATGGGTTTGATCTTACCGTTAAGAAAGCATGGGCGAAGTTTCATGGGTATGGTAATCCGGATGCATATCTCGCTGCAAAAATCAGATTTCTCAAAAATGAAATCAAGGCTTTGAAGAAAAAATCAGATGAAGATTCAAATCATGTGATATCAAAAATTAAGAGAAAGCTGCTGAATCACGTCCTCTCACTGATTATGAATTAGATACCAGGAACCACTGTTTACAAAAGATAATGGAAGTAGAAAAACTTGCAGTAATGGATCTGAAACAAAAGGCTCGGGTGAAATGGAATGTTGAAGGAGATGAGAATACAAAATTCTTTCACGGTTTTATTAACAGCAAGAATACGGGTAAAAGAATCAATGGTCTAATGTTAAATGGTAAATGGACCTCATATGCCAACGAGGTCAAAGACGCAGCTTTGCGGTTCTTCAAAAACAAATTTACGGAGACCAGATTATCGAGACCCAAGCTTATAAGCCCTCATTTCAAAACCCTTTCCATGATGCAAGCGATCAAACTTGAAGCTCCATTTAGTTATGAAGAAGTCAAGAACGCAATATGGGCATGTGGAAGTGAGAAGGCTCTTGGACTCGATGGCCTAACCTTTAAATTCTTGAAGACTTACTGGGAGACAATAAAATACGATGTCATGCAATTTGTTCTTCACTTTAATAAGTTTGGGACCATGGCAAGAGGTTGTAACTCAACTTTCATATCTCTGATCCCTAAGATCAAAGACTCCATCTCTTTCTCAGATTACCGACCCATCAGTCTTATGGGATGCATGTCCAAAATCATCTCAAAAATCCTAGCCATCAGAATCAAATCAGTTATTGGCGATCTTATCGGGGATGCACAATCAGCTTACGTGGAAGGAAGAAGTATATTAGACGGTCCACTAATGATAAACGAATTACTCTCTTGGTCAAAGGTGATAAAAAAAGATTTCGATGTTTAAAGTAGACTTTGACAAAGCATTTGATTTCATCAACTGGGATTGCCTCGACTCAGTACTCTCACAGATGGGCTTCGGCCGTAAGTGGAGACATTGGGTGCGCGGTTGCCTTAATTCATCCCGTGCTTCGGTGTTAATCAATGGTTCGCCAACATGTGAGTTTGAAATATCTAAAGGTGTTCGCCAAGGGGATCCCCTATCCCCTTTCCTCTTCATCATTGCCATGGAAGGCCTCAATGTAGCACTTGAGGATGCAAAGGAAAAAGGTATATTTAAAGGTATCCATATCCCAAATCATGGTCCCATCCTAACACACTTGTTCTATGCGGACGATGCCTTATTCGTGGGTGAATGGTCCAGATCCAACCTAAAACATTTAGCCAGTATTTTAAAATGTTTCAATGCATCTTCGGGCCTCAAAGTAAATTTTAACAAATCAAAAGTATTTGGAATCGGTGCTTTTGTTAGGGAGACTGAGAATTGGGCTAGCATTCTCGGATGTGAAGCGGGTTCACATCCTTTCAATTACCTCGGAGTTCCAGTTGGGGCGAACATGAATCTTAACAAAAACTGGAAACCAATCATTGATAAATTACAATCCAAGCTATCTTCTTGGAAATCAAAGACGCTCTCATTCGGGGGAAGATTGACATTAATCACTTCGGTATTGGGGAACCTTCTCACATATTTTTTCTCTCTTTTTAAAGCCCCAGTGGCTGTCACGGATAAACTTGATCAAATAAGACGATGATTCCTATGGGGTGGAGATGAAAGCAAAAGGAAAATTCATTGGGTGTCTTGGGACAAAGTCGTTGCTCCTAAATCCGAAGGTGGTCTAGGTGTGGGAACTATTCGTACTTTGAATACTAGCCTGCTCGTAAAATGGTGGTGGCACTTGAAAACTGAAAAGGATTCCCTTTGGGCCACTGTTATAAAATGAATTCATAATCTTTACAATAAACCTCATGACTGTCTCTCAAATCAAAAAATAAGGGGAGTATGGAACAACATTGCAGCATGCAAAAATGAACTCAAGAAATTTGGTTTGGTTAATTCGGATATATTCCAATTACACATTAAATCCGGAGAAAATACATCTTTCTGGTACGACAGGTGGCTAGGATCGGTCACACTTGGTGAAAAATATTCATTCCTCCTTGAGCTTGAATCTAGAAAGAAATGTACAGTGGCGGATAGGATAGTCAATAATCAGTTTGAAGCTCACTGGAAATCTAGTGTGGATGGGGTTTACGAACTGCTATGTATCGATAACCTTAATAATGACTTATCAGTGGTACATTTGGTTCGAGGAGAAGACCATTGGACTTATGCAATAGATAGCAGCAGTCAATTCTCAGTGAGCACTCTAAGGAAAAAACTACTATTCCCCAACCGTGTCTTACCATATTTTATATGGAATAAGATATCATCGAACAAAGTCAATTGCTTCATATGGCGAGCGATACAAAGGAAGATCCCATCTGCAGTGGCACTTAGGAAAAAGGAGTTAAAATCGAAAATGACATATGTAGTGCTTGTGTTAATGGAATGGAATGCTCTGATCACATACTCATACAGTGTCCATTTGCTTGCGAGGTCAGGAAGGCAATATTCACTTGGTGCGGTTTACAACATGAGTCTTTCACATCAGTTGGAGATCTAATCGTATTTGCAGAAAACTGGGGAAGATGCCCAAGGAAGCGGAAGAGATTCATTATCATTTGTCAGGGCTTACTCTGGACTCTATGGAAGTTCAGAAACGATCGGGTGTTTAACGGATTGTTCCAAAATCTCATTCATGGTGGAGGGGCAATTAAGTCAGTGATATTCTTTTGGATAGATACAGAGCAGGGGCAAAGGAGGAATTGGGGATTGGAAAAACTGGATCTCTTCTCCATTTTAGTTTTAATTTCTATTTATTACTTAATATTTCTCTTTCCATGAAAAACTTTGCTGGTTTTTGTACTCCTATCCTCTTGCTAGTTACTTGCTAGTCGGGGTTCGTTTTAATAAAATTTGCCGTTTCCACAAAAAAAAAATACTTAATAAGTTCGTCGGAAAAGACATTGCGCAAAAAAACTATTTTGTCCAAAGTTTTACATATTATTACAAATATGGTCTTCCCTACCGTAAAAATTTGTCCTATTTTTTTGAAAAAAAAATGCTTTTCAAATTCAGTAGCTTCGATTTCATACGTTTTAAACGTCGTTAGTTTTTACGTTTTTTTACATTGTTTATCTTACAATTATTTGGTTACCAAAATCTTGTCCCCAAGAGAAAAATAGGTCAAAATGCATCAAAAAAGAGCCTTTATTTTACAACAAAAAAAAACAAAGAACTTTTCTACATGATACAAAAAACAGGGATTGATTCTTGCTACAACACAAAACCCTCAAGAGAAAATTCGCTCTCACTACGTCACTCTAACTCTAATTCTAACTAACTCATCAAGATACTTACCTTTTTTTAACAACAAAATCCTACTCCTAAAAACTATGATTCCAAAAAGCGACACAAATGTACAACATATCACAGGGCAAAAACGTAATTTTCACCTGGACATAATTAAAGGGGTGGAGGAAGCAACTGAATGACAAAAAAGAGAAGATTCACATATGAATTTACATTCACTATTATCCTTTCTTTTTTTCAGTGTCACCAAATTCTCAACTTGGAATCTCTCACATGCTTTCCTCCTTTGTCTCTTCTTTCTTGACCAATTCCACTTCAAATCACCAATTACATATTCCCCAATATGCCCTTTATCATTATCATCATCATCAACAACAACCATATTGGATGATAATAACACATTATTATCATGTGATTTAGTTTGAGAATCACAAGAAATCAAACCAACAAGATCGAATCTCTTCTTCAATTCTTTCCACTCCCCTTTAAACCATTCTTGAGAATATCTCAAATCCTTACACCCAAAAATCAATCTTTTCTTCTCCCATGGAAAATAAACATGGATTCTATTTCCATTTTTACCCTCCAATTCTTTATCAACCACAATCCCTTCCCACCACCCATCATTCCACCACGCATCCACCACACAACCAACATCAACATCCACCAAAACATCACTCTTTTTCAACATTCTTGAGGGCCTAACTGTCATTCTTCCACTCAATCTCATCCCAAATTCATCATCAACACCAACTCTTGATGACAAAATCCATTCCTACACCATTAACAAATCATCTTTAGTAAAAAAGCTTACATTTTTATAAAAGATAATGAAAGATAACATAAATTAAAAGTTAAAACTCACCTCAAGATTTTTAGACTCATCCCCTGCATCCTTTATATCTTGATACCTGACTTTAAGCTTCTCATTGTGTTTCTTGATAACAACACCTTTAAACCAAACACCTCTAATCCCACTATCTTGAGATAACACTTCTACTTCAGACCCTATTGTGTACTCATATTCTGTTTCCACTAATCTCCTAAGTCTCTTTTTAGGTCTGATCCCATCCACATCCACATCCACATCCACTGCCACATCAGCATCACTACTTCTCAACTTTTTGAGATGAACATGATTATGAACCGTAGACATGAGTTTATGTATGTTTTGGTTCCAATACCCTTTGACTTTGGTTATGTCAAAGGGCTTGATTCCTTCATCTTCAAACTGATTTTGGCATACAAATGGATCCAACTTTTGGTTTATCAAATTCACATTCAGAGCATTGAATTTGAGGAAATTTTCATAGTGTTGAGGGCTGAGGACAGATGCAATTCCATCTATGCATTCGATGCTGAGATCTTGAATACAAAGTGAAAAGAAAATCTCTTTGTGATTATTATAACTAGTGTGAGGTAAATCAAGAACAACCTCATCTACTTTGTGAAACCATCGAACTACAGCCACTTTGTTTCCTCTTGAATCTTCATATAAATCTTCCAAATATGCAACAAGTCGTTTGTTTTCTTCAGCTAATACATACACAAAATCATGAACCTACAAACCACAAAAAACAATAAGTTAATAACTAATTAAAATCTTGAGTTTCTTCAATTATAAGAAAGAAAAAAAAAAGAGTTCTTACTGAGATTTTAACACCACTTCTTGTGTAAGCTTCATAGTGTTTCCTCTTTTTCTTGCATGTCCAGGATCCGACCCATAGAAGCTCTGTAGTTTGATGGGTTTTTTTATGTAAATGAAAATCCTGAGAGAATAGAAATTCATAAGAATAAGAATATGCTACTATATTATATTATTATAAACTATATGTATTAAAAGGATATGAAACGGAATTAATACCTGAAAGTTTTCTAATTTCAACCTCAAGGTATCTCCTGCTCCAAGAACATCATCTATGGGTTTTGGTGGATATGAAAAAGAGCCATCTAAAAACATTTAAGAAAATAAAATATTAATATTGGGATTAGAGAAATTATAGACATGTACTACAAGAAAGAAAGAAAGAAAATGAAACACAAAAGTGAGATAGTTTCACAAGAAGGTGGAAAGATGTAAGATGGATGCATGTTGATTTAGGTTAAATTGGGAATAAATTATTGAAAACAGAAGGCAAGTGTGTGTGTATGAGTCAACGCAAACAAATTTAAGTTGACCAAGAGTAGATCTTAACCTAGTAATCAGGGCTCAGGAATTCCGAGGCTCTCAGCCAGCTCTTGGAATTTGATTTAATATTTCCTGCAGCCCAGATCATTGTCAGTTTTCCATGGAAAAAAACACAACATGGAAACAGCGACTTTCGCCCAAAAAGAAAATTGTAATCAAATTGGATACATATACATCTGTGACTTATATAATTTTTCGTTTCTACAGAATTTTTTGCTCCGAGTTGTAATTTTACATCTTTTCAAAAACTAGATTTGGTACACCCTTTTAAAGGGGTTCTATTGCTAAGAAACAAAAATCCAACTTCAAGAGAAAAAAGCTCTTGAAAAACTCTAAAAATGAATTCTATAAAAAGGGTGAGTAGAAGAAACCCATGAAAAGCAGAGAATTGAGAAGAAAAGAATCCAATCCCAGACCAACTTCTATTGCAAAGAACAATTACAAAACCCTAAGGAAATTAAATTGGATAAGGAAAATTTTCACCGAAAACTATATTGAGATAACGAAACTACAACATTGAACGCAGCATAGATCTAAATAAAATAAAGAAAGCTTTCGAATTTCGAACAAACAGAAACAGAAAACCAATAAGAAAGAAAGAAAATTGAAATTTTGAGAAGGGAAATGAGTTATGTTAATACATACCTGTAACAAGAGAGCTCAACCAATCAATAACCTGTCGCCGAGATCTGAGCTTGGGAGAATTTTCAAAAGGTATATCAGACGACGGAAATAACGATTTGTCACGAATTGCGTATCGATACCGATACGGGGAAGACGAAGACGTCTTCGTTTTGGAGGCTAATTTCTTCTCTTTGCCGACAACTGCCAAATCGGAAGTCCCATCCCGGCGTTTCAAATAATATCGTACCTCTCTTCTTCCTCTATGATTTGTCGAAAAAACTTCTTCCCAGTTCACAAACGCAGAAGACCTCTCCATCTTAAATCTTCCAAACGAACCCTGGTTTCAATCTATACACATACAAGCTTGGAAAATTTTGATATGGATTAAATAAACCTTTCTCTTTGAAATTTGAAATGAAATTGAAATTGGGGGTTTTCCCAACCCAAACTTTTTATAAATTTCGAAAGCGGTAACGCCTAGAAGAGATCTGAAGGATTTAAAACGGGTATTTATAAGCAAATAAATGGAGAGAGAAAGTTTGGGCTTCCTTATTTTGTTTTTGAATAGACAACCGGGGAAGGCACGAAGGAACAGGAATACAGGATGATAACGGGAAGGTCAACCCATCTTTTTCTCTACATAGCATATATAGATTAAAATCTTAAAAGAAAAAAAAATCCAATTCATATTGAAAAATGCACACACATACATAGATACTATTGTTATGGGATTCGGGTCGTTGAGAGATGGTCGATTTTGAAATGGTGCTCGATAATGTTGGTTGAATGACCATTGAAACAGCACAGAAGATCGTTTATACGGTCAATTTAGTTCGTGAGGAAGATAAGTTGATACGCATACGAACGAGTGTAATAAGTATGAGATTACAGGGAAGTCATACCTTAGTAGATTGTAGATTATGCTATTTATACCTGGGTGAGTGTGTCGTGGTTACGTGTGCTAGTCGTGAGAATGTACGTCCGGCCTTTACTTATGTTCATGTAGCTTTTATCGTACGTATTGTTGTCGTTTTGTCATTAATACTTGATTGGCCGGAGGTACATCAATGCTAGTTGGTAATGGCATATCTATTGTCTTAGCCCAATTCCTCGTTCTGACACCAATAAGTAGCTCGACCCTCATTTAATGTATTTGCATAAGAGATATATAAGGTCAGTCGGACTTGGCTTTGTTTCGATGCTCTCTTACTTGGGTTTGAGTGAAGGATTTTGGGGAGAGGCTATGTTAACATCTAACTATGGTTTGAATCGAGGCTATGTTAACATCTAACTATGGTTTGTATGTGGATGACATGTTGATCTTTAGTACAAACCAAGATCAAGTACATGATAAAAAGATATTGTTGTCATCTAAGTTTTCCATGAAGGACATGGGGGAGGCTGATGTGATCCTTGGGATGAGGATTAAATGGATAAACAAAGGGATTTGTTATGACTCAATCACATTATACTGAGAAAAATCTCGATAAGTTTAACTTTGGTGATTGTTCTCCGGTGAGTACCCTTATGGATCTTAGTGTGAAATTGATGTCTAATACCGACAAGCCTATTTCACAATTGAAATACTCCAAGGCATTTAGGAGCTTGATGTATACTATGACAAGTACCAGGCCTGATATTGCTTATGTCATAGGAAGATTAAGTAGATATTCTAGTAATGTTGGATTATGTGTCTAAGCTCATAACTAAAATTGGTATATACTTGAATTGATAGTAGCACAGTCCTTTTGGGTTGCCCTCAAACCTATCAATTGGACATGATGATTTTTGGAGAGTGAGAGAGAGAGAGAGAAAGATTAATTTATTATTAAATAAATGGTTTATTAAAGTGTTATGAAAATAATATATTAATTTAAATCATAATATTTAATTAATAATTAATCAGAAATTAATTAGAATTAATTTTGGGATTAATTAGATCAATTAAAAGTACATGAACTGTTTTGTTATTTATTAATAATTGAGAAAGGAAGGCTCTACAACCTCATGAAAGAGGTGGACGAAAATCACTAGGGAAACCCTAGGAGATTTCGTCCAAGGCCCCTTGGACAAGGGGATTGGGTTGCTTGGATACCAAGCAAGGGATCTAGGGTATATCCTTTAAACCCTAACTTTGGCACCAAGTTTCCTCAACTATATAAGGAGTCCCCTAGCCATTGTTTCCGTCCATGTCTTCCCTCCACAAGCCTTGGACAAAATTCTCTCCTCTCTCTTAATTCATTTTCTTGCTAGTTTGGTGTGATTCCATTAGAGGCACGACACTTGTGGTGATTTCTTCCAAGAGATCAACAAAGAAGAATTCTAGTTGCTTGCTATAACAACGAAAAGGTATGTAATCCTAAAACCATTTCATCACAATTTCGAAAAGACCGATTTTTTTTATACTTTATAAAAATCAGAGTACCTCTTTTAATAAAACTGTTGCGGAATTTGTTCCCAGAAAAACATGATAAATACGTTATCAAATCATTTCCGAAAAAAAATATTTTTATCCATTTTAAAACTTTTGGGATGTCATCGTCAATACAGAAACATAAGCATAAACAGAACTTAAATTCATTTACACTAGTGATCTACATCTCTTTTAAATCCCTCGGTGTAAAGTAGCTTCATATCGACACATGTGATACAAATAAGCTTGAGTGGGTCAGGTTAGGAAACCTGGTAGGGTTTTCAACCCACAATAATATAATTATTATGTTAAACATCAAACAATCAACCCAATTACCCATCCCCATTATCTTCTTTACTCTTAAGGATCTACCCTAAGATTCAACTATTCCTCGTTCATTCATTCCTAAGGAGTATCCTAAGGAATCAGCACTAAGTCGGCATAGTCGCCAAGGTTTATCTCGTTTATTGACAGTATCGTTTTCGAGAGTCCACTCGCAATACCTGTCAATGGGTTTTTAGAGTACACCGGGTGAACACATCGTTCACAACACCTACATGTTGCGAGTCTGCTAGTGTTCCACTAGACTGTCTAGAATAGTCTGTGGTTGTCATCCATACTCTGCTAGATGACGGGGCCATCGTTTGGCTCATCGTTTTGGCTCATCGCTTCACACCATATTTTATCACTCATATATCATCGCTCATCATTCATCTCATCTTTCATCGCTCATCATTTTTCTCATTTTTCATCGCTCATCATTTATCTCACCTCTAATCTATCCATGTTTTTCCCAACACATTTTGTAGATATAAAATACATATACAGTTTAGATCATTTAAAACATGTATAAAACGTTTCATCCAGCATAGACAACAAGTATTCAGACAGTATACACACATAGCACGTAATTTATATAAAATACTTCATATCTATGTGTAAGATGAAAGTAACTATGCACTCTCTTGTTAAAGTGATGATTCCCAAACTCGAGCAGCGCTTCGCTTCTAACGATTCTATTTTCCTCCGACGAAACCTAGTATTATTACCACTAGATTTTAGTCTAATATTTACCGTGACTAATTATTAGTCTTAGCATTATTATTATTATATAAGCGCTTAAACAATATTTTCCAACACTATGTACAGACAGGGGCCAGACATAAAACACCGGAGGGCAGGACCATTTTGGCATATAGCACTTCTGAAATCCAACAACCCTATGCGGCCCTTTAAACCAGATTCCCCGTACCGCCAGTGGTTAAAAAGATATTATAACGACACTTATATAACTCATAATAATAGCCCAAATACTCATTAAAAGGTCCTAATAACATTACTATATTAGGACATAAGCTATACTAAAGATGGGTTAGGCATAGCTCACTTACAACGGATTTTCTCGAAAACCGGGCTTCGCTGGAGCAGCGTTCCCGATCCAAAAGGCTCTTTTCTCGGGGCTTCGGGAGCCTCGGGGCTTCCTTCGGGTGCTAGGGGGTTTACCTAGGCTTAGGGGGGGTTTTGGGGGCTAGAGAGAGAGTTTAGAGAGAGAGAAGAGGTTGGAATGGTGTGAAGAATGAGGGAACCTGACACCTCTATTTATAGGCTGGAAAACAGCTCTACTCGTCGAGTAGGAGGTCCTACTCGTCGAGTCCATGCCACATGTCACCTTCTGGTGGCTAGCCTTGGGGAGGAAGCAACGACCAGGATTGCGCCACGTCACCCGATTTCGCACAGCAGCCTCCCGACTTAGAAAAATCATAAATCTCGCATACGAGCCCCGTTTTCGACTTTCATTATATCCACGTGTAGGTAAAAACAAGATCTACAACTTTGATTTAGACTTCGTCGGCTAATTCTCGACCGATCTTAAATTTAACAGTAGGAGGAGATTAGACTGTTAAATGACCGCGAAGAATTTGTAACTCCTTCATACGGACTCCGTTTTTGTCTGTCTTTTTATAGTTGAGTTCCTATTAATGAGATATTCATATCTCATTCAGGTCGCGTAGGCCAAAAATTGCTCGAACTAAAATTCGAGTTTCGGACCGTGCACTGCTATGCCAAATCTTAGAAAATTCATAACTTTCTCATACGAAGTCAGATTTGGGCGTTCTTTTTTTGTATGTTCTCGGTTTAACGTATACTACAACTTTTGTTTAGATTACTAATGCTAAAAACTCCTCTATCATAAATTCACTATTTACGTCTCCTGGTGCCGTGCCGGTTTTGCCGAAAACTTCGGCGGGCCATAACTTTTTCGTTATAACTCGGATTTCGGCGTTCTTTATATGTACGGAACCCTTGTAACATATACTACCACTTGGTTAAGATTATTCCTTATAAATAATCTTCCATCAAAAACTCATTTTTGATGTTCATTGTCTCTAAATTGAGTAGCCCGGATTTACGGGCGTTACAAAAATGATCATCGGGCCCCGTCCGGTAATCATACAAGTACATACACATGTAAGAGTCATGCAGACATCTAGCACCCTAACATATCATAATCATCGGCCAGAATTGGTGCCTTCGATCCGCTAAACACAGTGAGGAAACTCAACTCGAACTGTTGAATCACACTGACAAATCTCTGGCTGCTGGTCCGAAAAATCCCCGAGCTATCAATACTAAATAACATCCAATTAATAATTGGATTTTCAATCCATAACCATCAGTCCGAAAATAGGGTAAAAGGACCATTTTACCCCTTACCTAGTTTGGTCCAAGACTAAGGCCCAAACATACAATCTAAAAGGCCCAAATACCAAAATAATCATCCAAGGCCCAATCATGGCCCAATTTTCCAAATTGGGCCCAAATCCCTTCCAGGGCCTTTTCCAAGAGAACCCAAAACTTGATGGCCCAACAAGGCCCCAAGCATCTAAGTCCAAAATGGCCCAAACCGAAGCCCAAAACGTCCGCAGCCAAACTGATTGAGTACGTGGGGTGTAGTCAGCTCGTACGCGCAGCGTACTCACCTTAGGGCTTGTACGCCCAACGTACTCCCTCATTCAGCCAACTTTCATTTCCATCTCTTAATCCATAAAGACTTTGCTCCAAAACAAATATTTGACTTCCTTGGGTTGAATTAT